GGTAGTTTTCTCACATACCGGAAGTCGGTCATGAAGGCCGACACGGCGGCATCTAGGAGGGAATACTCGTCGACGGACAGCCGCACCGCATCGATTCTTGTCGGATGCTGGTGCGGCTGTGCGGTGAAGTACTGCAGTGTGGTGGTGGGGTCGATGAAGCCCCTCTGCTGCTGATCCAGCTCATCTGCCCACGTCGGCTCCTCGGCCATGACGCCACATGATAGCAAACCCTGCACACACACACATACACACACACGTCAGAAGAGAAAAGCGGCTCTCTGACTTTACTTGCCTCTTTGAATTGCTGGTGGTCGATTTTTGGTCCCGACGCCTCCCCGCCCTGATCACGGTACATCTCCAGCCGCGTCAGGATCGTCCGCATGAGCGTGCCGTTGCCGGAAGCATTGGGGTTGGCGGGCAGCCCAGAGGTCAGTGTGGTGCGCACCAGCTTGGCCAGCATGATCACCTTACGTCTCGCAAGTGAGATGTCCACTTTTGTGAAGCCCGACGATCCGTTTTTGGCGGGCACCTCCACAGTGCACCCGGCAGCAATTGCGGTGACCAGCCGCTCAAATCCTGGCGCCGAAATGCCCTATTTATTCCCCACACCCATACACGTACACAAACGGACAGCACACACGAAAAGGAGGCTTGTGATTTCCGTTGCCCTTTCATTTAGTTACCTGCAGTGAGAAGCAGGCCATTTTGTAGGCCTGCACGGCGTCGATGAGCCCCACATTAGCCGCGGCTGTGTGTGGGGTGAGGACGAGAGGGCCGCCGACGGGCGGGGAGTCGACGAGGCTGTGGATTTGGCGCTTCAAGTGGAGAAAGATGTTGAGCACTGGCAAGGGGTAGACGAAGGACGTGTCGGCGAACTCCAAGAAGCTGTCGATAGCGAGACATGGAGTGAAGGGAGCCGTTTGCGCATATGTGCAACCGTGTGTGGGTGTTTGGGTGGGAGGGGTGAGTCACCCAGCGAAGAGCCTCAGAGGTATCGACATTTTCGCAGCAGATCCCCCCGCCCGAGTCATCTTGCGGTCGAGGGCTGCCAGCAAGGCGTACACCTGCCCACACAGCGCAGTGGCTATGTGTCTCGCCCCTTATATGTGTAGACGGATCGGCACCCGTTTTTCTGCCAGTGAGATGAGGCCCATTTGCTGTGTGTAGTGGTAAAGGCAGAAGTCGTAGAGGGAGCTGCGCGGCCGGGTGGGCTGGTTGGCCTCCATCTCCGTCTTGTGCGCGTAGATGCGCTCTGCCTCCATCAGCAGCTCGTCCGACGACACGTCCACCTGCACGCACGGCGCAAGTGCCCAGGAACACTTTGTGGCGAGGATGCACGTCTAAAATGGCGCTTACGAAAGTTTTCGGGTCGTGCGCAGCGACAAGTCTTCGAATGGACGGGTGGATGGTGCGTATTGGCCTCGATGTGTCGGTGGCGGCCTGGCCTATGTCTGCCTCTGTGACGTCCAACGCGCAATCGCGGATGTCATACGGCCTATGAACGAGACATAGAAAGGAAATTTCCCTTGTAATGACGCACCACATCCCTGACCTGAGTTCCATCTCGCCGGTTCTCAGCTCGATCACTCTGCCCCTCTGTCTCAGGCTCTGCGGGTCGCCCTGCCTGGTCGTAACCATGGATGTGGTGCAGACGCCCACTTGGTTGAACAGCCGCTGCTGGGTCAGAGACTCCTCCTGAGAGATATAGACAGAAAGTGTTTGTGTGTGGTGGGAGGGAAGGGATGTATGCGGTATCGTATCTGACCTCCATTTCGTTCATGAGTGTGGAGTAGTCGGCCATGAGCTTCGCCAGGCCCTGCAGGCCGCCACCCGTGCTGGGCGAGAGCGCCTCGAGGTCTTTTGTGAGGTCCTCCACTTTTTCCTCAAGTGCCATCTCGGTCTCCTTGGCGCGCTTGACCGTCTCATCAAGCTCACGTCTGATGCACACAAGCACGGATTGTGTGCAGACAGACAGACAGACACCCGGAGGAAGCCCTTCGCTCACCGCAGCGCGTCGTGCGCAGCCGTCATTTCATCGAGCTTGGTCTTGTATGCCGTGGCATGCACGTGGTGGTCCTTGACGCGATCGATGATCCTCTCAAGCTGAGAAATGTACTCCTGGTGGGCACTGAGCTCGCCGTCGATCGTGAGCACGAGCGACTTGACGACCAGCTCGAGGCTCTGGGCCATCGCAAGACCACCACTTGGGGAGGTGGCCAAGGTGCGGAGGAGAGAGCGGAACCACCTGCAGACACACACACGCACACACACATTGAGGGACACTCCGAAAGGCACTCGTTTGTCCATCTCGTTTGTATCGCACCTGAATTGTTCCTTGGCGCGTGCCTCGAAGCCCACATCCTGCTCCATGACCTCGATCGCACTCACAGTCGGCAGCGCGTCCTCCGCGGCGTCTTCGGCATCCCCATCGCCGCCCCTCTCAGGGGAAAGGGACTCTCTCTGCTGCTTGTGTCGGCCATGATGGTACTCGTACTGCTTCACAACCGCATGGGGGTCCGCAAATGCTGCTGGCACTGGTCTCGGTGTCAGCTGGGAGAGATAGCGTCTGATGGCCTGGTCGCTGGGGATCAGGAGAGGCCTGAATGGAGAAAGAGACAGAGAAATGCTTGTAGGCGCTGTAAGCTTGTGTGGGCATCTTTGTTTGTGCACTGTTTCTCACTCACTTGAACAGCGACTTGGAGTGCCAGAGGCTCGGTGGCGTCAGTGCCTTCGCCGCAGGATCGTCGGCCTCCCTCTCCTCCTCCAATGTCAGCTCTTCGCCCAGCACTCCTGTCGTCGGCATCACCACGCTCTTCCTCGCGGCCATTCCCACACCGGCGCTCTTCGGCACTGTGACCGACGCCCGCCTCGCCACATCAATCGCATCCATGATCGACTTCTCCACAGGCACGGCCATCTCCGGAGGCAGGATTGCCTTGATTGGCAACACGAATGGGCTGCATGGAAAGGCGCGAATCTCCCTCTTGGTGGCTCTCGACTGGAGATGGTGAGCGAGGTAGTGGAATGCGGCCGTGTAGGCGATTTCGGGGCCACAGCCGGGAGAAGGCGCCCTGCTGCTCCGGTCATGGAAGGCGTAGAAGTGCGGCGAATCGCTCCGCAGAGAGGGCTCAGCTGCCACCGGCACTTGATGCGCCCGCTCCTCAGGCACATCCTCAGGCACGGCCCCAGGCACACCCATTGGCTTGTCCAGCCTTGTGTGCGGCCGCGTCGTCAATCGCGTCAGCGGCCGGCTGGCCATATCGACAGACGACTGGAAGCCGGTGAGCGTTGGCACGGGCGACCGCGTGTCTCTCTCCCTGTCATGCTCGTCCCTTTCTTTCCCGGACGTTGATCGCAGCATGGAGGGCGTGATGGGCACATCCGTCGCAACACTGGGGCCGGCCAAAGGAGGCGGTGGGGCGAAGCAGGGGGCGGGGGAGGGGGCAGCAGGTGGGAGGGAAGAGGGAGCGGGGGCTGTTGGCGGCTCTTCATGTCTCGGCGAGACGGATGTGTCTCGTGCGTCGACTGGCGGTTCTAGAGTGACCTGCATGGGCTCACCCATCTTGGCGTCGAGCTGCAGGGCGTAGATGTAGGTCTCGATCATGTCGCCCCCCTTGACACGAATTCTCTGCCGTATTGGCCGAGACCGCAGTGTGACTGCCTGACCGAAACGGTGTTCATTCCCATGAATAAAGCAAGCAAGGCAAACAATACAATGAAACGAAAGGTGGCTGGCATACTTGCTGTGCCGATGGGGAGGCGACCGCGGGCATTGAGGTGAGGATGGAGATCGGGAGATGGCCGGCCTTTCTCTTGCTCGAGGCGTAGCTCGTCGGCACCACAGTGATCTGCATCTGTGGACATGTCTGCTCGAGAATTGACACCGACTGCTGCTGCTGCTGCTGCTGGGAAGGTGCCTTGGCAGCTGGTGCAGGCGCTTGTGCCTCTGCCGACTTGATGCGTGTCGCCTGGTACGTAAGGTCAATCTCCGTCTCCAGGCATGAACGAAGCGCCCCAAGCTGCAAAGAAACGAGCAGTCCATGCACTCACAGAAGCCTGAACAGAGTTAAATAGCCAGTGTTTTCTACCTGGCTGATGGCAAAGTCGTGCAGTGCGCCGCCGGGGTCTTCTGCCTCCTCCCCTTCCTTGTCCCTGATATCTCTCCACCTGCATAAACAGACGGACGACCGACAAATCATGAAGGAAGGAGGATTGCATGCGTCGCCCACGACCTGGTGATCTCCTCCCGGGTCATTCTTTGTGGCCGCTTCATCCCCTCGAGCAGCAAGTCGGCCCGCCGCAGCACATCTGGGTTCGCGTGTGAGGGATCTGTCCCGCCCGATCTGCGTGTGCTGGTCTGCAGGTCTAGTGACCTGAAGGCCGGCGGCTGTTCTGCCAGTGGCTCCATCGGGCTCTATGACGGGGCTCACTGTGGGGGCTTCGGGGGCCTCGAGACTGGAAGCATTAAGCTTGCACGCGTGCAGAGCTGGCGCACCGCTCAAGACAAGGACAAAGGAGATCTGCCTCAGTTTCTCTCTCAGAGTCACGCATAGACGCTTTGCGTGTTCGACTGTACACACCACAAACGTCCGGCCACGTCTCTTTGCGTCTCACTCACTATACACCGACGCAGTGAGACACGGCGAGCCATCCATCCATCCATCCATTCGACCCAATGGCATCTATGTGTGTATGACGGAAGTGTTTCGAATGTACACGCCCATACAGATGGTGAGGTAGATTACTGTCCCGAAGGCGCACACCAGAAAGACGTAGAAATCAGTGATGTTCTTCCGCCCAATGCACTTGCTCGTCCACGGACAGTGCTGCACCCATACAGACAACAGTTATACACACACACACACTGCATGGGTCCGTAAATCGTCAGATCGCCACTCACTCACGTGATCGAATTTGTCGATACAGACTTGGCAGTCGACGCAGTGGAGGGCCTCGGGAGGCACCAGCACTCCACACACCTCACACATCCTGCAGACAGACAGACAGACACGAGAGAACATCCCCTGTGGACACCATGTCGTCTGATTTGATCCACCCTCTGTCTCACAGATGCGCCTGGACGTGCCGTCTTCTCGGAGGGGATGGCGGGGTATCGCTGCCGGTGGCCCTGCCGATCACCGACGGCCCCGCCTCCCGATATCGCTGCTCAAGGTCAGGCAGCTCTCTCTCGTCTGCCGCAGCCTCGGTCGACCGCCGAGTGGACGGTGTGTTGCTGTCGCTATCGCAGTCCTCCTGCACGCCCACCGTCAGCTGCACATCGTCTGTCGACGACACATCACTCCAGTCGCTGTGCGACGGCCTGACAGATCAACAATCAGACACAATCAGACACACACACGCCTTCGTGTGAGCGTGTTTCATGTGTACAAACCTGATGATGCCTGGGTCTTTCAGCGAGACGCAGGCGAACGACACGAGGGTCGACAGCACACAGGCGTAGGAGCCCATGCGGAACCAGAGAGACGACAGCTGAGGCGCTACGTGGAAGCAAAAGGCTGCATCCAGAGAGGCAGGCAGGCAGACAGGCAGTGCACTTTCCCTTTGGTGTCTGTCTGTGTACCTCCGCCGACGAGCAGAATGAAGGCAAGCAGACCGACTGTGTAAGGCCCTGTGGCAGCCAATGGATAATATGAGATGGTGAGAAGACCGGGTCATTCGATTCGAACAGATGTGTGCGCCCACTGGCTGGCTTACAGTCCGGTCCGATGACAATTAGCGTGCCGTCCTGCAACCGTCACAACACACACCAAGCGCATCATGCGGTCAATCCTTTGCACACATTGTTCATTGCTCATCCATGACCTTCCATTCCGAGAGGACAAACATCCTCCCAATTCGATACTGGTAGGGCTTCCACGACCATGGACGCCGCGTCAACTGGTGCTCATGATCTTCACTCATCTCCTTGAGCTCTTCCTCTCTGCGGTCTAAGCTTGCAGACCGGAGCTGTCAGAAAACACGACGATCGGGATAGGATTCCACTGCCAGTGCCACGGATGAAGCGGATCTTCCCTTTTTACCCACCACTGACGACGTCCATCTTCGCTGCTCTGATCTCTCTCGTCAGTGCAGCATCAAGTTACAGACGCGGTGGTGGCTTCTTTTTCCGTCGTGGCGGGGCAGGCCAGCTGTCACCTGCAGCACCGCTGTCGGCAACCCTCTCGCCTGATGACCAAGTTCCGACCATTGATGTGGCCCCTCTGTTCAATGAAGATGCGGCAGCCGAGGAGAGAAGAGAATGCGTCGATGCCATCGGCAGGTCAGCCCAGCCAGATGCACGCAGCGCAGACGACCATACATACAGATGCAGTTGTCCTGTTTTGCGTGTTTGTTTCTTGGTGTGATTGATGCGTTCGTTCCTCTGTCTGATGTTCATTCATTCAGGGCGTGTGAGCGGTTTGGTTTCTTCAACATGGTCAACCATCCCATCGACCGTGAGCTCATGGCGGCCCTGAAAGAGGAGATGGTGGCCTTTTTTGCACAGCCGAAACACATCAAGGTGAGTGACGGAGGGAGTGAGGGAGGACGCATCCGTCGCATGGTGGGTCCGCAGCTCCACACGTTGTCTGTGTGTGCGTGTGTGCAGATGAGGATCAAGCGAAACAGTGAGACGTCGCGCGGCTGGTTCGACGATGAGCTGACCAAGCAGAAGATGGACTGGAAAGAGGGGCTCGACCTCGGCAAAAGCAACGGACGATGGGAAGGTGAACACACACACACACACACACGAATGCGCACACACACGCACACACACACACACACACACACACACACAGAGACAGAGAGAGAGAGAGCAGCGTTGTGTGTGTTTGGCTTCTCCAGGCAGCACGTTGGATGGGTACAATCAGTTCACGGAGAGCGAGAGGTTCAACGACCTGCTCAAGGCCTACTACGGACAGGTGAGTGACATCCCCCCGAGCAGCACATGTAGACGCACTGCGTGCGTGTTACACGTAATACCTACCTGCAGATGGAGCGCATCGCCAGCAAGCTTATTGAGGCGCTCGCCACCCACATGGGCGTCGCCGACCCCTCATCCCTCGCCCCCCTTTTTGCCAAGCACTCATCCCTCCTGCGTCTCAACTACTTCCCTCCCTGCCCAGATTGCGATGAGTACCTGGGCGTATCGCACCACACGGACGGCTGTGCCATCACGCTGCTGCTGCAGGAGGTCCCCGGCTTGCAGGTGCGTGGCCGTTGTCTGTACTGGATGTGCTTCCATCAACACAACGGACGAAAGTGATTGTCTGTCTGTGTGACGTGTTAATGGCCCCTGCAGGTGTGGCTGCGAGACAAGCAGCAGTGGGTGGACGTGCAGCCCGTCAAAGACGCGCTCACGGTAGGCAGATATGGCGGAAGAGGCAGATCGATCGTGACCTCTCCACCCCCATGTGTGTGTGGTTTGCTTCCCAGGTCAATGTGGGCGACGTGATGCAGATCTGGTCCAACGACAGGTATCCCGCCGCCCTCCACCGCGTGCAGGCCAATCCCTCTCGCGAGCGCTACTCCATCCCCTTCTTCTTCTCCCCCCAATACGACGCCATCATCGCCCCGCTCCCCGCTGGCCAGCAGCCGCGGTACCGGCCCTTCAGGTGGGGCGAGTTCCGGGCGGACCGCATCAAGGGCGACTACGTAGATCTTGGGGAGGAGGCTCAGGTGGACAGATACAGGCGGACAGAGGCCTGAATGACGGGGGATGGATGATGTGATGCGTTGGCGCTGTTTTGAGTGCTGGAGTGAATTGATGATGGGGACGGGAGCTGCGGGTCGTGCTGTGTAGATAGGAATGAGAGAGGAATGGAGATAGTGAGGGCGTGCCGATTGTCCACTGGAGGGGTCGTCGTATGCATGAGTGTTGTGGAGGCAGCCGGAAAGTTCTGGCTGCCGGTGTGGCCCCGTCGGCGGTCTGTTCTTCGAGAAAGGAACAACACAGAGAGATGGCAAGAAGACAGAGATGCGCCGGGTGTAGTTGGAAACATCCGCGGCTTTTTTGTGTGTCGGTGCTGTTGAAGAACGGTGCACGGACGATGCCAATTGGGAGTGAGATTGGCCCCGTTCGTCGTGCCTGTCTATGAGAGGGGTAACACAGAGGGAGGGACGGGGAGGAAGGTGAACGCCAGACGACACACTCGTTTAGTCGTCTCCTTCGTCTGTCCAAGTCTTCTCGCAAATGCACACACATACAGGTCACTCTGTCCTTATGTCGCCTCCCTCCCTCCCTCTACCATCCATCCATCCATCCACTGCGCACCAAACAGACCCAGAGACACCCACCCACCCCACACGCACACACGAGAAGACGTTCCGCGCATGACAAATCAACCTGGCCAATAATAGTGGACACACGCAGACAGACTTCCACACGAACGCACTTAGTCAGGCCGACCCCCTCTCCCCTCCCGGCCACACATCACATCCCCCATGGCACCACGCGCACATGAAGACGCCCCGCGCGCCCGCCCACTGCTCTGTTTAAGGTGCGTGTGACACGAAGATCACATCGATGTGAGTGTGTGTGTGTGTGGGTGTGCATACCATACATACGGTCGGTCGATGGGGTGAAAACACAGAGGTAGGCAGCAAGAAGCAGAAACTGTGATGCCCCCTCTCCCCTCCCCTCCCTCCCTCCCTGGCTGGCTGGCAAAAATCCCCGCACTCGTGACAGATGGGGGTACGATACATTCGGTGACCATGACGGACGTGTACACGCCCACCCATTCCTTCCAAAAATGAGATGTGCGATCGATGTTACGGCTGGATGGATGGATGGATGGAGCCTCGTTCGCTCTGTCTGATGAATATGATACATACACACATACACACACGCGCTCACAGGCAGGCATGATGGATGCACTCACTCAGACACACATGGACGGACGGACGGACGGACGGACGCATTCAAAGTTTGTTTGTGGTCGTGGCCGATAGATGTGCTTATGGTACATACACACACAGAGAGAGAGAGAGCGAAACGAGAAAAGTCGAGAAAAAACTCTCGTGTGCTGTGGGTGCACACGACGGGCCGCACCGCACCGCAGACACACCCACAGCTGGACGGGGGAGCAATCAACCACCCACTGTGTTGTGTGTGCGGTGTCGTGACGGCCGTGGTTGCACACGAACGCTTCAATGGTACAAGCAGACATACAAACATACAAACATACCAAGCCCCCACTGCCTCACACACAAACTCACTCAGCCCAGCCGAATCAATCGCAATCACACCGCTTCCTCCTCCTCCTCTCTCTCCCTCTTTCTGCCCACACCCTGCTGCTGCTGCTGCTGCTGCTGGTCGATCGTCAGCATCTTCGGCTCGTTCAGCACCAGATACGAACCTTCACACACACCCCACCACACACGCCATGCGATGTGCGCAGGAGAGCGTCAAATACAGTGAGTGCATTTGTGTGTATGCCTACCGTCGACGCCATTGGGTGGCGTCTTCTCGTCTTGAACTGCTGCTGCCGCTGCGGCGTCTGTCTGCCCACCACCGGCCCCAGCAGCAGCCAGCTGCTGCACCACCGGCCCCACACACGGGCCCTCACTGAACGCAGGCAGACAGACACACATATGGATGCTTTCACGGGTCTCTCTCTCTCTCTCCCTCTCTCTCTCTGTGTGTGTGTGTGGATGCTTACACGTTCGGCCCACAGGCAGCTGGCACGAATGGTGGCGGAGAGGGCGGCCGTGGGGGCAGCACACGGGCGTTGGCCAGCGCCTCGAGCGTCTCTGTGCATGGGGCCCAGACACAGGTGAACACGTGTGTGTGTGTGTGGCGACGGCGGTGGTATGGCTCAGTGCATATATACCTTTATTGTCGAGCGCCTGATATCCGTCCACGTCGCTCGTGCCCACCGTCTCGCTCATCTCAGTGAACTGCACCCACACACGTGTTCGAACCTTCATTTGTGTGTGAGTGTGTGTGTGTGTGTGGACGTACGTACCACTTCCCAGTGCTGAGCCTGCGAGGGGCTGGCGTCCACCCCCCCCGGCCGGTGCAGGCTGTTGACGCGCATATACGAGTTCATCGAGCCGGTCATCGGCAGCAGCGGCTGCACATTAGTAAGAGATGGACACACACACACACGTGTGTGCAGATGGAGGCCGCTGTGTGTGCGTGTGTGAAGGGTGTATGTGTGTGTGTGTGTGTGTGTACGAGAGGGTTGCTGGTGGAGGAGCTGCTGAACCATCCGGGCATCGCCGGCAGCTTGGGCAGCGACCTGCGCACACAGACACACACAGACACACACGGCCGACATCCGGCAGGTGTGTAGCTGTAGTTGTAGTTGTGTGGGGTCCGTGCGCACGAGTACTTACGCAGTGGTGTAGAAGAAGCTGTTGACCCACTGGCGCGCAGCGGCACTGTCGATCGTCTCGCTCCCCTGTAACATCACCATCACACACACACACATACACACACAGGTCGCACATCGGGAGGGATGGAGGGATGGCTTCTTCGGCTGGCTTCTGACCTCCTGTGTGGCCTGGACGAGTTTCTGTTTGATGAGCAGCTTGATGTTGGTCTGGTCGGACTCGCCCATGTGGGTGGGGGAGGCGCCCTGGTGCTTGGAGAAGTAATCCAGCGATCGGAAATACTCCGTGGTCAACCTGCACAGCACAGTGGCCACGTGGGTGTCTCTCTCTCTCTGTGTGGGTGGGCTGTGTGGGTGGTGTGGCTGACTTCTCGAGCTGGCTCTTCTTCTCGTTGAGCGCCTCGAGCTCCGCCTTCTGCTTCTTCTCCAACCTGTGTGGGGGCATTTACACACACACATGGATGGATGGATGGACGGATGGACGGATAGATGCGTGTGTGGCTCACGTGTTGTATTTGTTGAACTTGGCCAGCTCGATGGCGTACGCAGAACGGCGAGGCGCGCCCACGCCCACACCCACAGTCACACTCGCCGGCAACTCGCTGCACACACACACACACACACACACATCAGTGTCTGCGTGGCGCCGATGTGCAGGTGCATGGGGGCATACGTCTCGGAGTCGTTGGCCGCTGCTGCTGATGCCGATGCCGATGCGGCTTGAGCAGTGGTGGGTATGGCGGGCTCTGAGGGGGAGTGCTCGGGCAGCAGCACCATGTCGCACTCTTCCTCCTGTCGTCGAACCACACACACACACACACACACATACAAAGGGTCGTGTGCTGAGGGTGCTGTGTACCTCAGGCACCGCGGCGAGCTCCTCAGGGTCGCCCGCATTCAGCAAATATTGCTGCGGCGACACAGGCAGAGAGACACGACTGTGTGTGTGGTGGGGGGGGGGCCAGCATACCAGTTTGTTGTATTTCTTTGCGAGTTTGTTGCACGTCTCGATGTAGGCGCGCTGCTTGCTGTTGATCAGCATCTGCACACACACACACACATGGGATGGATGGCTGGACGGATGGATGTCTCGATGGATGGATGGATGTGTCCACGGCGATGCACGCCCACATTGAGGTTCTCAAAGGCAGCCTCCTTCAACGCGTCGAAGCGCAGACCATCGGGGGCCAACTCTGCCCACACACACACACACAGATTGTGTCAGCCACACAGAGAGCCACACACACACACACACATACCCTGCACGAGTGTCTGTGTGGATCGGTGCATGTCCTTCTGCAACGCCTCGCACAGATCGGTGCTCCACACACCTGCATAAACATACACACACACGATGATGGTAAGGACCACACACACACCGGGCCGCTGTGCTGTGCGGGTGGGCATACCGATGCGGTCGACGCAGGAGGCCCCCTCACACCAGCGATTCACGGCCTGCGAGTGCAGCAACCTGCGCAGACACGGACACACACACACTTATGTGGGCGTATTGCCATCCGATCCACTCAGACACGTACTTGATCTTGTTGAGGGCCTCGGTGCGCTCCTCGACGCGGGCGGTGGCCTCGGTGAGCTCACACGCTGCCGTGTCGATGGCCAGCAGGTCCTCACGCTCCTTCTCCTGCACACACACACACACACACACAGGGAGAGGGATGCATTGCATTCACGAGTGTGTGTTGGTTGGTATTGGGTGTGTGTGTGTGTACTTGAATGGTCTCGATGCGCGAGAGGACTCTCTCGAGCTGCTTGAGGCACTCCTCGCGCTCGGCCTCATAACCCGACTGATGTGATGACAGACACACAGCCATCGATCCATCCATCCATCGCAGACACACACAGATGCATCGGCAGAGAGGCGGTGGTGTGTGTGTGTGTATGTGTGTGGACGGAAGGGCCCTCACCTTCTTGGCCTGGTAGTTGTTCTGTGCCTCGTCGAGTTTGTCCGCCTTCTCCTGGCAATACGCTGCACACACACACACACACGTACAGTGCACCTGTGCGTGTGGAGGGGGTGGGAGGGGTGGGAGGGGTGGTTGTCCGCACCCTGCATCTGCTGAATCTTGTCTTGGTACTTGTTGACGAGGTCGTCCTGCTGCATCTTCCACGACACGATCTTCTTGCGCTCCTCCTACACACACACACACACACACAGGCATGGGCGAGTGTGTGTGTGTGTGTTGTGTCTGAGGACAGCACTCATTATTCCCCCACCGCTGTCGTGTGCTGCACGTCATGGATGGCCTGCTGCACCCGACTCAGGTCGTCACCCTAACAAAGGACGGACGACACGAGTAGACCACACAGACACCAGATACACACAAGTGCACTGCAGACGTGTGTATGCCTTTCTGTGTGTGTGTGTGAGAGAGGAGATGCTGTAGTGTACTTGCAGCTGCGCCAGGATGGTGTGAAACTTCTCCGAGTAGGCCGTGAGCAGCTCACTCATGACGTCAATCCGGTCCCTACGAGCCAATGGATCAGAGCCCCAGGTGTGTGCACACGGCACGGTGTGTGTGGTTGTGTGGGTGTGTGGGTGTGCAGTGTACCTGAGCAGCGTCTCTCTCTGTCTCGGCTCCTTGACGCCATCCAGCTGGGCAGATTGCTCGCCTGTGCGTGAAGTACGTGGGGACATTTGACTAGACACACAACAGAGATGTGTGTCTGCGGTGTGGGCGTACGTACCAGTTCGGTCACACAACTGCTTGATGCGATCCGCGGACGGGCTCAGCAGCGCAGAGGCTGCACAGAACGTGTGCAGACGACAGACAAGAAGGCATACACACACTCTCTATGTCTGTCTGTCTAGAAAAATGGGTGAGCGCACCTTCGGCGCCCTCGGCGTGTTTGAGGACGTTGACGAGCAGCTGCGTCCACAGCTTGGTGAGAAACTCGCTCTCCTCCTTCCGAGGGCTGTACTTGAGCTCCTCACCTACACACACACATCACATCCGGGCCTCTACACTTGTTCGTCAGATTGTCCCGGCAATGTCTGCAAACATACCAATGGGGTGGAGCGAGTCGAGCACTCCATGAGCAGTAGTAGTAGTGGTGGTGGCCGCCGCCGACGCCTCACTGCCCTCCGCATCGCCGCCATGGCTGCCAATGCCCCACTTCTCATACCTGCAAGACAGACAGACAGACAGACATCGACGAGTGTGTGTGGCCGGGTCCGTGCCCACTCACTCACCACGAGGGGTTCGCCTGCTGGAGTTTTTCGAGCTGCTTTTTGATGTTGAGGTAGGGCAGGCAGTCCTGCTCGGTCAGCGGCACACGCACCGACGCGCAGTCCGCCTCGTTCGACGGCAGCTCCGCCACCAAACTCTGATGGGATGGGCAGAGAGATGGGAAACGTGTGGGTGCGATGCGCCTCTTGTGTTGGGCGTACGCACGTTGAGCTGCGCGTCGACGAACTGCTGCACGTCCTTGACATCAGCCTTGGGGTCCTGTGACAGCTCGTACAGCAGCGGCGGGTAGATGTCCAGCAGCGTGTGCAGCGCCTGACCCACTCCTGCATTGGACAACAGACAGACAACCGACGATAGACAAGACGACCCAACACACGACAAACAAACAAGCAAGACAGGCAGACCAGACTGTCTCACTCGCGCGCTCACCCCCACCCCCCCGACCTCCCCACAGTCCCTTCCGCATCTCGTGTGTCTGTACCGGGGTGTTTGTATGCCCCTCTGTAGTTGAGGTACGGCTGCAGCTGGCTCCGCAGCTGGGCTATCTCCAGGTCCTTCTCCTCGACCTGACTCCGCAAACGGTCTATCGCATGAGTCACGTCCATCGCTGGGGAGGGAGGCGTTCTGCCTTCGCGACTCGGCAATCACACTGACAGACAGCAAAGGGGCAACGACCGCCTCTCTCTCGCGCGAGCGATTGCCCGCTGAATGGCACTCAGGAAATGGTTGCTGCTTCTGGAGCGAGGCAGACGGCTTTTCCTGCAACGCGCCTAACCCCGCAAACCCTGCGAGCTCAGAAGCTCGCATCGGGAACTTTCGTTGTTTTTTGTGGCTGTTTTGTTGTTTGTTGTGGTGGTTTGTTTTGTTGTTTTTTGTGGTGAAACATTCTAGCCACTGGGCCATCTTGCAAACCAATCCCATGCGAGGCATCTTGAGGTTCTCTGCTGTTTGCTGAGGTGGCTGGGCGACAATGGTGAGTCAGACTACGGCTGCCGAGCTGCCCCAGGGGGCCATGCCCCAGAACCAAGACTTCACCACGACGGGCCAGTTCCGGCTGAGCATCGGTCAGTCAACCGACGTACGTCGTGATGCATAAGGGTCTCTCTCTCTCTCTCTGTCTCTCTCTCTCTCTGTGTGTGTGTGTGTGTGGATGTAGGCACATCAGTGTCGCCTCGCCGACTGCGGCTGCCCGAGTCGGTGAGCGGCGTGCCTGGCCCCTCTGTCGGGACGTCAGAGTACAAGCAGGAGTACACACACAAGGAGGTGCCGAGGACACAGGCCGTCGTGCAGCCGCCCAGGCCTTACGCGCCGCTCAAGTTCGAGGGCACCTCCACACACAAGTTAGTATGCCTAGGGAAGTTTGTTGTCTGATGCGCTGCCTGCATCCTTGGTCAATCGTGGCGTGTGTGCGCGTGTATGTGTGTAGATCTGACTATCAGCAGTGGGAGCTGCCCCCTCCCAGGCGCCCTCAGGCGGTCAACGAGCCCGTGTCTCTGCCCTTCCAGGGCGCCTCCACATACAGGGTCACACACACACACACACAGAGAGAGAGAGAGAGAGTCAGAGCAGAGATATCACCATACCATGGGGCCACCTGCATTGGTGTGTGTGTGATGGTGTCTGTCGTGTCAGAATGACTTCGATCACGAGGCGCTGCCGGAGAAACGCCGCGCCGAGAAGATGCAGTGGACACCCAAGTGAGACGACGAGCATAGCATCCATCGAGGCAGCCACGGCGACTGTTGTCTCTCCCTCTCCCTCTCCCTCCGTCTGTGTGTTGTGCAGTCCGGCAAAGTTCGAAGCCGTGTCGAGCTACCGCGAGGCTCACGACGAGAAGCCCGTCTGCAAGGCGCAGTCCGTCAAGCCCGCCGTGCAGGCCCGTAAGTGACAACTAACAACAGAGACACACACATGTCGATAGATAGGATGGATTGGCATGTGTGTGTGCAGCGCCTCCTCTGCCATTTGAGGGCACATCCACCTATGGCGAGACGTACAAGCAGTGGGAGCTGGAGCGTCAGGCGCCGATGCCGCGAGGCGCAAGGGTCGCACAGCCCGACAACCGTGACTTCGGGTATAATGAGCGTGCAGCATCCATGTGCCTCTATCGATTGTGGCTGCATGCCATGCATGCCATCATCTGCTGACTGCAGGTCAACGTATCAAACGTCCTTCAAGCAGCATGAGATCGCCCGGCGACCCATGTGCCCGATGGACCATCTGCCAACGCCGCTAGTGCCTCCCGATAGCCGAAGCCTGGGTACAGGGGCGTCAACGTACAAGCAGGAGTACACACACAAGGAGGTGCCGAGGACACAGGCAGTCGTGCAGCCGCCCAGGCCTTACGCGCCGCTCAAGTTCGAGGGCACCTCCACACACAAGTTAGTATGCCTGCCTAGGGAAGTTTGTTGTCTGATGCGCTGCCTGCATCCTTGGTCAATCGTGGCGTGTGTGCGCGTGTATGTGTGTAGATCTGACTATCAGCAGTGGGAGCTGCCCCCTCCCAGGCGCCCTCAGGCAGTCAACGAGCCCGTGTCTCTGCCCTTCCAGGGCGCCTCCACATACAGGGTCACACACACACAGAGGAGCCAGCTGCATTGCCGTCACTCTGTGATGGTGTCCGTCTGTCGTGTCAGAATGACTTCGACCACAAGGCGCTGCCCGAGAAACGCCGCGCCGAGAAGATGCAGTGGACACCCAAGTGAGACGACGAGCATAGCATCCATCGAGGCAGCCACGGCGACTGTTGTCTCTCCCTCTCCCTCTCCCTCCGTCTGTGTGTTGTGCAGTCCGGCAAAGTTCGAAGCCGTGTCGAGCTACCGCGAGGCTCACGACGAGAAGCCCGTCTGCAAGGCGCAGTCCGTCAAGCCCGTCGTGCAGGCCCGTAAGTGACAACTAACAACAGAGACAGACACATGTCGATGCGCTGGTGGGTGGGGGAATAGGATGGCTTGGCATGTGTGTGTGTGCAGCGCCTCCTCTGCCATTTGAGGGCACATCCACCTATGGCGAGACGTACAAACAGTGGGAGCTGGAGCGTCAGGCGCCGATGCCGCGAGGCGCAAGGGTCGCACAGCCCGACAACCGTGACTTCGGGTATAATGAGCGTGCAGCATCCATGTTCCTCTATCGATTGTGGCTGCATGCCATGCATGCCATCATCTGCTGAGTGCAGGTCAACGTATCAAACGTCCTTCAAGCAGTATGAGATCGCCCGGCGACCCATGTGCCCGATGGACCATCTGCCAACGCCGCTAGTGCCTCCCGATCCCCGCAGACAGCACATCTTCTGGTCAGTAGGCAGTAAGGCGAAGAGATTCGGACCATGAATGCCTTCATGTGAGAGTGTGTGTGTGCGTCTGTGTGTGTGCAGGGACCCCGTTGCACAGCAGTGGTACTGATCGTAGTCCCACCTCTGCGTCTCTCCTTGTCTGCATACTGTTGATTGCCGGCCTCTTTGCTTGTCTGGCAAATGAAGTACTAGTGGCGACAAAACGAGACAGAATCACGAACACGTGAAGACAGAGAACGAGAATGCAGTTGCCTTCGAGGCCAAAGCGCCGCCCTCTGGCCAATTGTGGCTGTTGCGTCCTTGCTGTGGTGTCTGCGAAACGTGGCTGGCATGACTGTTTCAATGGACAGAACAAAAAACAAAAGGAGGGGGCGGGAATGGGACCGGACGAGTCGGTTTGCGGCCTGATAGAACAGACACCAGGGGCCTAGGGTGCTTCCTGAAACCGCCGCAGCTGCTGCCGGCTAAGCTCGCAGGCGAAGCAGTCGGAGAGGGAGAGAAGGGGGGAGGACAGGCAACGACAATGCATTCACCGTGGCTGTTCCTTCTTCTTTACTCTGTCATGCAGGTCGTCTTGAGAAGAATGAAGAGAACGAGCATGTGATAGACGCCTCCCCCGAGGCCAGATACGTTCATACGCGAGTTCATGCGGGCGGTGCATGACTCGCTTCCTACCCCTTGACGGGCCCACACATCAGGCGCAGCGATGGATGCATCGATGGGCTCATACAGGTCGGGAGTGAGTGCGCATAATGAGTTGGGGCTGTCATTCAGTCATTGGGATGGCTTCCATATGGATGTCACATCTACAGGTTGATCAACGTTGATGAAGACGACGAAAGGCCTCACCAGGATGAGACAAATGCATTCGATCTAACGGCATCCGTCATGGTACGCTCAGGACAGCCGTGCACGTCATGTGATGACTTCTGTGATCGCATGTGTATCCGCTACCCTTTGCAGGGTGGCCGGCAGGCAGTGCGTGAGGACTGATGGTTCTGTCCCGTGTCGGCCGATGTCAACAAGTCAACACACAAGAGGCACAATGGACGAGTAACCAAGCATGACACACACAAGCCGAACATACAGACACCTACCTCTCTCTCTTTGTCTGTGTCAGGAGAGGTGCGGCCCATGCGAGTGGTGTTCACAAGACAGTCGTCATCGCCCCAATGTGGCTTTTGGTCGGTGTGACCCTATCGACTGCGCCAACGTGGGCACAAACGCATGGATACATGTGACACTTGCCAGCCAGTATTCGCTTCATTCCATTTTCCATCTTTTCAGTGCAGGGCACATGGGTACA